AAGAGAAGAAGAGGGGGGGGGAGGAACGGGGAGGAAATAACCATAAGGAACCACCTCTTTGTGTCTATCCGCCCGTGTATACGTTGGCTACCATCTCCACCCGAATAGAACGCACGGTACTTACAGCTGAATTTGGTTCAACTTTCAGTCTACGTACAGCGATAATGACCGGGTGACGAAGGTAGTAAAACTATATAATATATAAAATATATAAATAAAATATAAATAGAATATAAGTATAATAACTACAGCAGCGTAACGCCGTGGTTGCATTTTTCGAAAAAAAAAAGTCCAATACTTTCCACTTCGAGCATGTGTACTCAAAACTAGAACATTCTCCAGTGAATCTGGTCCACATTTGGCGTCAGATTCGATCTACCAAATCCTAGTATGAGCATCCCCTCCTCGTGTACATTCCATTTTTATATGCATACACACGTGGAGGAGAGAATTACAACTGCTCAGGAGGGGAAAAATAAAATAAAAAAATTGCGTCAAGGATCTCTCTTTTCGGAACATGGCTTTCTTTCTCGTCTTCATTCACTCTCCTTACCTTTTTCCCCCTCCCCAGGCTCCCCCTCACCATTTTTCTCGTTTTTTTTGTACTTTCGTAATTTCTAGCTCACAAGTCGCGATAAAGAATATAGAGAAAAGAGAAAGAAAAGAAGAAAAACAAGCAATCGACTGTAATCTGTAGCTTCTATTAGATCAGGTTTTTGTAGTATAGATCATGATTTTGATCTTTTCTATAAAATATTAAACCATGGGCACACTATTAGCTATTGGTAGTGTACATGTGTCGTCATACCAAACTGCCTACGGCGAGCGGGAGGCAGAGAGGGAGAAGAGGGGGGGCAGCAAACGAGGGGCCGTGACAGACAGACTGCTTCGTCGAGGTTCCAGCGACTCATCAGGATATAACATACACTCGTCATCATCATCATCATCATCATCATCATCAAATAATTAATATAATAAAATATATACTAATAATACCCTAAAAATAGTAAATAGTAAAACAACACACCAAAATAATCCAAGCAAAATAACGTCACTAGTGACTCACTAATAATTAATATCAGTATTATAATATTTAGTAATAATATCATTATAATCATTAGCAATACAAGCAAAATAATAATAATAATAACAGTAATATAATGATATATCATGATAAATAATAATTATTATTATAATTATTATTATTATAATAATAGAAAAACTAAACAAGCCAAATATATAATAATCCAATAATAATCCAATAATAATACAATAATAATACAAGCAAAATTAAAATTACAAAAGCCGTTTTACACCCTTTTTTTTTCTTTTCTTTTTTTTTACGAATACACTTTTCTCCACATACTACGTTTTTAACAAACATAGTACATTCATCATAGCTTTCGGCACAACAACCAGCACCACCATAAACTTAAAAAAACAAAACCCACAATAATATTAAAAAAATAATAATAATTTAAAAACATAACACAACAAAAACTATGGAAAAATAAATATAAAAAACAACCACATTTACAACAATTTTTTCCCCAATTTCATAAATAAAATACATCAGAAATCAGAAATCTATTTTCCAATTACTATTTCAATTTACCACAAACAAACAAAAAAACACATATTGCGCTCCACCAATCGTCGATCGCCTCCTCTTACCTGAAGTTCTGGACCACAAATGCACAGGAGTCGATGATGGTGAGCAGCCCGCTAACGTTGTGACTAAATGATTGAATTGGCGCACTGAATCCACGCAGCTCTGTAGTCGACGTGTACGGACACGGCTGGTACTCAACCCCCTCCCCATTAAGAAACAGTCGTACCTTCTTTGAGAAGGCGGGGGAAAAAACTCCGGACGAAGCGATGAGGACAAGCATGATAAGCAGCCAGGAAGAGGAAAACAGCGGGATGGAGGAGCAGCAACGGGATATGAGGTCGCGGTCGCGATCGCGACGGCGGCGACGGCGGCGATGGCGGCGGGGGAGACCGCACCCGACACCCACCCTCCTCCACCTCGTCTGATTCGAGGAAGACCAAATTTCGTCATGGGGATCGCCGTCGAGATCGCCATCGCCATAGGCGCCATGCGCTGCTGCTTTCGTCGTCATGTCGACAAAAGACAACGAGCCCATCTGCGACCGACATAGCCGCTGCCGACCTGCAGCCGCCATCGCCAAGCTCCAAATCCCCCTGTCAGCCCCCCCCCCCCTAGCAAGCGTTCTATTCGAAGAAGAAGAAGAGTCGTAGGAATTTTGAAGACAGCTGGAGTTGAAAAAGGAGGAGGAGGAGGAGGAGGAGGCGGAGGAGGAGGAGGAAGGAAGAAGGAAGAAGACGGGAAAAGTGTAGCGGCGGTTTCTTTCACGCCCTGCTTGATTCCGGTGGGTAATCCTTCTTAAGAAGGATTGACGCCCGCCCGCGTCCTGCGTAATAGAGATTCTGCTGCGGCGGCGCGCACACACACACCGCGCGAGGTAACGCTAATGACCACCTCCTCCTCCTCGTAGGGATGCCTCCACCTCTGTCTGATGAACAGCGGCCTATCCACCCATCATGGGTACATATCACTGATCGATGACACGTGTCTGATTAATCTACTATTATCTTATCTGGTACGATGACACGTCAGCTCCCACATCCGCGATTGATTAACTTGGATCCGACAAATTGACGACTTCGGTGCTTGGGCTCCAGAGAGATGCAATTCTTTGCATAGCCAGCCCCGTCAGCTCCTCCCACTCCCGCGCCCGCCTCTGCGCGTGCCCACCCGCGCCTGCACCTGCGCCTTATTCCTATAATCGTGTTCAGTTCAGCCGCGCGTCGCGACTGTTTCCCGGTCAAATCAGTCGCAGATCTCGACTGCGTCTTTGTGACAGATCGGCCGCACGTCGTCGACTCTGTCTTTGACTGACAGATCGGCCGCCGGTCCCGACTCTGCCTTTGATTGATCGGCCGCAGGTCCCGACTCTGTCTTAAATTGATCAGCCGCGCGTCACGACCCCGTCTCTGACGGCTCAGCACGTGAAGCTCAAAGCAGCACGCAACGCCGCCATCGGATTGCGATACGGATAAGGTTAATAACTCGACATGGAGATCCCGACGCCGAGCGCAAACCAAAAACTCTGCACAGATGAGAGGTAAACGACAGCCACGTCAGCAGACCCACGTCAGCCATTCGTGATTAACCTCATCTAGGTCACCCCTGACTCAAGATACACATACACACACACTTACTCTCTCTCTCTCTCTCTCTCTCTCTCTCTCTCTCTCTCTCTCTCTCTCTCTCTCTCTCTCTCTCTTGGTATAGAGGACAAGACGACAACTACACACACATTCAAGTTTAACCTCGTGACGAGTCGGTGAAAGTCCGATGACCACCGCAGTCGTGTGCATAGTCATGGTTCCTTCCCTTCTTTTTTCTTTTTCTTTTTCTTTTTTTTCTTTTTTTTCTTTTTTTTCTTCTTTTTTTTCTTTTTTTTTCCCGCGGAGTTGCTTTGTATAGCGAACATGACAACACACACCCACCCACCCACACACACACCCACCCACACACACACACACACACACACACACAGACAAGTGCCAGTCATATGAGACAGGAGAGGAAAGCAGACGACGCTTCAGTAGGGATCTATTGGACACGTGTCGTCAAAGCAAAAAGAAAACAGTGGAGGCAGGATCGTGCGGCACGTCAGCTCCTCCTCCTCTTACTTACAACGTTTCGAAAAGATTTTCCCCCTCCAAACAAAAAAAAAAAAAAAAAAAAAAGATGCGGACTTGAAACGTTCAGCATCGTTATTTTTCGTCACCGGTCAATCAGAGTGAGGGCATACTCACACTAGCACTTTCCTACATGTATTTCGGCCCGACGTCCCATGCATCTAACCGTAATCACGTCCAGAGCTCAATAGAAAAAGCCCTAGTGTGAGTATGCCCTGATTGATGACAAAAAACAGCAAACGACAAAACGAGAATGACTGGAGGGAGCTGCGATGGGGCATTATTGGGTGCTTGTCGTATCGCTTCACAGTTTTTTTTTTGTTTTGTTTTTTTTGGAGATCGTTTCACAGTTACTTTTTTATTTATATTTTCGCGCGCGCGTTTCACAGTTCGATTACTGGTTCACGTCTCAAAAAATCAGGCGGAAAAAAAAAAAAAAAAAAAAAAAAAAAAAAAAAAAAAAAGGAACGACTTAGCGACGGACGTGAAAGAAGCAGAATAGGAGAGGGAGAATGTAGAAAACGCGAAAGAGGAGAGGAGGAAAGGAGGAGAGAGGAGAGAGGAGGCACAGGAGGCACAGAGGGAGGCACAGAAGGAGGCAGAGGAGAAGGAGAAGAACAGAGTGCCAAAGCCTAAGAGAAAGCACAGACAAAGGGGAGAGCCATAGCTCAGCTATGGCTAAGACTCTGCGCTATCATGTCCTACCTTTTTTTTTCCTGAAAAAACAAAAAGGTTATGCACGGTTGTGTGTACGAACGAGTCAGTCCGTCTGGGCCTCGCTCCACTACTGTGGCAAAATGAGAACGAATCTTCCGCTAGAACATGGAAAGATACAGAGCCATTTTTTTGTCTTTTGTGCATGTAGAGAGCAGTGGAGCGAGGCACTTTGTCCCGTCTTTCACACCATCGCAAAGGGGAGAGGAGAGAGAAGGGAGGGGGATCAAGTAGGAGGAGAAAAAGGAGGAGGAGAAGAAGAACAGAGTGCGAAAACCTAAGGTAACCGCAAGCAAAGGGTAGAAGACAAAGAAGAGAGAGACAAAGGGATGGACTAGGAGCGAACGAAAGAAGAGGGAAAGAATAAGAGAGTGGGGGAGGGGGAGGGGAGGTGAGAGAGAGGAGAAGAAAGGAGAGGAGAGGAGAGGGAAGAGAGGAGACGGAGCACAGTGAGACGTAGACAGAAGAAGGCTTATCTTCTCTTTTCGACTACATACATTAGAAGTATATACAAAGGGCCTCGCTTCATTACTCACCAAATGTGCAAAATACGAATGAATCTTCCCCTAGAACATAGACAGATGCACCGCCATAGTTTTCGTTTTTTCTGCATGTGGTGAGTAGTTGAGCGAGTCCCAAAGTCCTTCGCCAATCAATCAACAAAAAAGGGGAGGTGAAAAAAGACGACGAGGGGAGGGGAGGGGAGCGGGGAGGGGGGGAGCGGGTAAAAAAAAGAAAAGACAAGGGGGAAAATAACAAAAAAGGACAACGAGGGAAGAAAAAAAAAAGGAGGACGACAAGGAGCGAGGTTCCGCATACACTTGCCCGAATCATTCCCTCTGGGCCATAGATTGCCAAGATGAACGGTCGTTAATTAATTAATTAAAAAAAAGAAGATGAGTGGCCTATTAGAAAAAAGAAAACACAAACAAAAAAGATGACCGTCCATAAAAAACACCGATAAAAGATGGAGTTGTTTATCCAA